CTCCCTCTCCCTCTCTCTCTCTCTCTCTCTCTCTCTCTCTCTCTCTCTCTCTCTCTCTCTCCCAATAGATGCTTTTAAAAAATGCAAAAGAAATAAAAGTAAAGAGAGCTGGGAGTGTGACTTAGTGGTAAGCACACACCTAACACACACCAGGCCCTGGATTCAGTATCCAGTTGTGCAAAAGAAAAGGAGTTAAACACAGACAAGGCCCTTCCCACATCCTACCTCAGGAGGTGTGACCTCGGGACGCTGCTCCGGGGCACTGTGGTGTTCGGGGTCTGGGCTGGAGTCTGAGGCTATGGTCAGGGGCTGTGGGTCTTGGGCAAGTGGGGCTGGGTGCTGGGGACTGGGTTCGAGGGGCGCAAGAGCCAGGCCAGGGTCTTGGGTCAGGGGCTCAGAGGCCAGAGGGAGCTCATCCATTCCAAAGATCTGCTCATAGTGCACAACGAGGAACTCAACAAGCTGAGCCTGGTGACTGGAGTCCAGCAGACAGGCCATGGGACTGGCACTGGGGGCCCTGGGTCCATCTGGTGGCCGCAGCAGCGTAGGCCCAAACACAATCCCCAAGTTGTTGGCAGACATCTTGTTTTCTTCAAACCGAGCTGCCACCCTGAGGATGGTGTGGGGAGAAGGGTCAAGCAGGGAGTTGGAGGAGAAGGGTAGGACCTGTGGGCTAGCCTGGTGACTTGGCCAGGCCACAGGAAGTAGTCTTTGGTCACTGTTTTAGACTAGTTAGTTCACATGGATAGTATCAGGGTTAGGTGTGGGTATACAGGGTTCTGAGCTCAGAAGAAATATTAAAGGTTAGAGGTTAATAGGAGCCACACAGGTAAGCAGTTATGTGTCTAGGGAAAGGGCCATGATTCAAAGCTTAGGGACCCATGCACACCTGAACAGATGGGCCACCAGGTGCCGCAGGGTGCTGTAGTTAGAGTCGGGCAGCCGCCCCAGGAGGGTCTTCAGCGAGCGGATAACCTCAGGGCTGGGGCTGGGGGTCCCAGGGCTGTCCCCAGGGTCTGCATGCAGGGTCTTTGCCAGAGAGATGAAGGCGTCGTAGAAGTGGAAGGGGACCACGGGGTCAGTGAGCTGGTGGGGACAGGAGTGTGGGAGGGCTGATGAGGGTCCTGAGCCAGAGGCTGCATGGCTCCTGCCCACCACCTCAGGCCTGGAGCCACCTACCTCCTGAAGAAATCGCTTGAGGACACTGGTGATATCGTGAGGAGAGTTTCCGGACAGTTCAACCAGTGCTCGGCCGTTCTCGAAGGCCTGGCAGAGCCGTTCCACACGCACTCGGGACCCACTGACCCGGTAGATACCCTGCGGAGTAAGGGACACCTCGTTTGTGGTCTGGCCGTCAGTGGGCACACATCACTCGTGGCGACAATC